AGAGTGGAAGCAGGGTCGGCGGGCGGCGCGAGAACAACAACAATCTAGGAGGTGGGGGTGAAAAAAAGTAGTTGTGGGATTCGGGTAGGGGGGGGGGGGGGCTGGGAAGGAGAGATGAAAGTGTGTGCCGGCTGCTCACATTAAGTAGAGGAATGGCCCAGGGAAACCTCGTCGTTCTGATCGCTTGACCGTGGGCAGCGATCCTGACTTCGCCTGCCCCTGTTCCGTCAAGGCCCAACGGGCAGCGTTGAGGGGCGTCTGCACAGCCGTAGTGGGGAGAGGTCATCCTGGTGGCCTTTTAATATGATGACTTGCGACTGGAATTGCTGGACACGGCGGTCATGGAAGGGGCTAGTGATGGTACCCCACTTTTCTTCAAACTGTGGGGTTCTCTCCCACTGGACATGCCTGCCAGATCCTCCTAGCACATTCACTAAGGAATGGTTCCTGCAGTTGGTGTTTTTGATGTCTTAGTTTCACTGTAGTGATAAATTTGCACAAACATTGAACCAAATTGGGGCACGGTTTACAGAGGAAGCAAGTGACCCAGAAGGGCCCCTTCCCGGCACCTTCCTTCTCTTTTTCACTCTGGTCCCCCAACCCTTGCGATTGCATCTTCCTAGGAGTGTCCTCAATTTCCGGCTCCTAAGGGCCCCGAGTCAGCCAGCATGCCCACCCCCCAGCTGGCTAATGGAAGGGCACAAATCAATGCTGCCCACCTTCATTTTGCCTCACTGTTCATTTGGGCCGAAAGACGAGAATGGCCATGGTGCAGGAAAGAGGTTGGCCCGCTCCTCAGATCTGTTGGGAAGGACGGGGAGGCTCCGAGACCCTGGAGCACCTCAATTTCTGGGGTGCAGCTGGAAGAGGAGCCCAGAGCCTCCAGCAATGGGCAGCAGACCTCGCAGCTCTTCTCTGGAGGAGCAGGGAGCTGCTGGGCCCCTGAACCCAGGCGGGGGCCCTGTCTGGTGCGCCAGCCAGTGGCCCCAGCCTCGGAGCAAGGCCGCCCCACTCGTGGAAGGGGCCTTGCTCACTCGATGAAGGCACACAGGCAGCAGCTTGGCATTGATCTGAGCGCAGTGAAAGGGACACCTGAAGCCCTTTGGTGTTAGTGTGGCACGACTGACTGAGTCAGCTGTTCCCAGCAACTGACTCACTCCCTGCATGAGCAGGGCAAGATCGGGGCTGATCTGGTGGGGGGGCTATTTTGGAAGCCCACCCAGCTGCCTTGCCTGAAAGGACTCTGAAGGGCTCTCAAGTCCTGATTCCACCCCACCCACCCCCGGCCTTGGCACAACAACAGCAAAGTATAAACATCTACAGTAGCTCGGTGAATAGAAGTGCCGTTGTACAGACCACGCCAGTGACTTCCTTCTGGCATCTTCATCGCATCATCCCGAAGTGACAGAAAGCCTGCACCTTCCAGGGGGCTGGGTTACAATTCCCATCTCGTCCAGCCGCGTGGCTGTCAAGGATGATGGGCATTGGAATTTGGCAGGTTTGCTGCCCCAGGCCACTGCTCCGGACCTCAGGATCCGAGAAGAGCAGGGCAGGGAAGCCTTTGGGCACCGGGGGGGGGGCGGTTTGAAAGGCCCTAGTAGGCCCCTTCCCCAAAGGGCTGCCGTGACAGATGCAGCCAGTCCAAAGCCCTCGCTGGCTGGACGGTAAACCCCAAGACATTCCCCCCAGCCATCTTCCCTTGGCTCTTCTCTTCTGGGCGGGCAGCCTTCCGGACGGGCCAGGCGTTGCAGCTCCCCCCGCCCCCGCCAATCATTTTTATTTTCTAAGGATGTCTGGAAAGTTTGGCGGCAGGCTGGTGTTTCATGTCATCTCTCGTTTCTCCCTAAGCGACTCTGAAAGGAATTCACCAAGTCGAGTGGGACAAGGCAAGAGAGGTGTCTGTAGGGCCCCTGGATTTGCAGACCCTCGGTGGGTCGGGCCCCCTCCCCCTTTGCCGGATCTTGGCCTCCCGGGAGCCTGATCTCATTTTGCTAGAGGCTCCTTTGCCAAGCAGCAACCTTCCTTCTTGCAAGTCTCTGAGGAGAAAAGTTATATTTAGAGATTTTTAGCAGCTCTTTTTGGTGTGTTATTTATTTATTTGCGAAAGGGAGGGGCGAGAAACTGCACTGCATCCCTGGGTGTGTGTTTTACCCTAAAGGAGCGCTGCTGCCTGGCCTCCCTGAGCACAGGAACGTCCTCCTTCCTTGATCCTTGGAAGCTGGCGTTCTCTACCTGTGCGCTGAGCAATCTGGCCACCATAGTTTGTAAGCCGGGGCTAATGGCTCAGGGACGTTGCAGGAGCCCTGCCAGTTGTGGTGAATCAGATGAAGCGTGTTTGGAAAGCCACGGCTGAAGTGTGACGTGTGAACCAAGTCACTCGGCTGGCCCCAGCGTGGCGTACAGAGGCTCTTGGTCTCCTCCTTGTGGGCGTCCTGGGAGGTAGCAATAGGACCTCCACCGAAGATAAGGGCCAATCGCTTGTGGAAGCCCTGGTGAGGCAGGGGAGGGACGTGGCAGGACCTGTGCGCGGCTCTCCTTTTTGCAGCGCGGAGGGGACGCGGGCAGGCTGATGTCCAGGGCGACCTGGAGGGTTTCTGGCAGCCTCTGAAAAACAGAACAGCCCAGCAGGAAATGGCATTTGTGAACAAGGGTTCAAGGGTCAAGTCAACTGCTGCCAGGGGCCGGCAAGGAGAAGGGCTGGCCTGCCAGCTGCGTTTGCAAGGGAGCCGGGTCTCCCGAGAGGGAGCTTTTCGGCTGCCTGTTTTCGCTTCCCTGGTTTGAGGGAGAATTGAAAATGCCACTGGGATGTTTGCCTGTATTCCTTGAGAAATGGGTGGCAAAGAGGAGGTACGGGGGTGCAGCAAAGCCAAGATGGTGCCCATGATTGTGCGACAGAAGCCCCACCCCTTTTTTGGGCGTGCCACAAAGCTGGAATAAGTGAGCAGGCCCCACAAGCGAGGGATCAGCATGGCTTGTGCAAAGCGTGGCCTCGTCTGCCTGCCTACCTGCCTGCCTGCCTCAGACTGCCAGCGAGCGTGCCGGCTGCTGAACGTGGCCTCTTCCAGCCTTGTCCGCATGGAGGCCCTGCCTGGCATTTACCTTGAGGCTCTTTTGAGACCAGATTGAACTCATTTTTGGGGGTGGGGGGGGAAGCAGCACAGCTTTTCAACGTGTTTTTGTTTGTTTGATCTTTGCCACTGTCTCTGGGGCTGCTTTAATCTCTTTTAATGGGTATATTTTTAACTCGTTCTGCTGCTTTTGCTGTAAATTACCCAGAGAACCTGGAGGCGTAAAAATACTTGAAGTAGATAAATAATATAACATGGAAACGATGGAGCGGCCAGTGGCTGCGCCTGACGAATCCGGGGGGGGGGTACAAGTGGATTAGCTGCTGGGAGGGTTCGATCCTGTTGGCTGGATGTTGCTGGACCCTCCTGGCGTGTGGCGCGTCTGGCCCCTGCCCAGGAGGTGCCGGGCCCCGAAGATCTCCGTGATGTCAGCAGCAGCCGGGGCTGCTCCCCAGGTGACAGGGCAGGC